ATCTTAATCACTAGGCTCTACTGGTACCTTCTCATAAGTAAATTACTGGTAGAAATAAAATCATACATCTCATACTAGGAATTTTGAGAAAACCTTGAACAATTTGAAACATAAAGAACCAGTCATAGATGAGTGGAAGCAGTAGGATCACATGTAAAGATCTATGAGCTTACTTGTATCTCCACTCATAGGACAACTGCCCTCCTATATTTTCCTTGAGATAAATATTTTTCTTATTAATTCTAGTGCTTTGGGCATACACACTGATTACAGGCCCTATTCGAGGCTTCTTGTTAGATAAAGCCAAGCAAAATATTTTTTATTCCTCAACCTGAAGTTATTTAAGGTCTTATTGTGGTTTAGCAGAATATCATAGGAAGTGGCCTAGACTTCTGAGTCTTTGATAATTTTACTATAAATCAGGTAAGTAAATTTACATTTTTAAACCAAAAAGTAATGGTTCTGGGTACGAGTGTATGGTATAAAATCAATTAAAATTAAATAAAATGGTTGATTCCAGAGATGAGACAGAAAAGATGAGCCTGACATATTTTCTCACTCCAGAAAGGATACAAGTAAAGAAAATGATGGGGTCATGTCATAAGGACACAGGAGACAGATTTAGTGTGACCCCTACTGGTTACACCAGGGACAATTTAACCAACAAAAACATTAAAGACTTTTTTGAAAGTTGTGAATCCATGAGTTCATGCCATAAAAATAAACAAACAAATAATAAATAGGAGAAAGTGGAATTCTTGTTTACAGCAGAATGTCAAATGCTAACTAGTAAAAGTAGAAAGACTGCTGAATCTAGAAAAAATTATCAGTGTGATAATCAGAGTAAAGGTTGAGCACAAAAGAATCATCAATAATGTTAAATCTAAGGGCAGAGTTGACATAGAGTAGATATTTGAATGTCACAGGCTTAAAAACTCTTCCTACAGACTGTTCATTGATACCATAGGGAAGAAAAAGGAATGAACTATATAGTGTGGAAATCAGATAACATATTGATTAACTGAAATTAACATCACAAATGAGAAAAACATGAATAATATGTAATTCAGGATGTGATTCCGTGAGAAGGATACAATTTCACTTACTTCCATAAGGGTGTAACTAGATATCTCATGAGGAAATATGAGACAATCCACAAATGAGAAATATTCTATTTAAAAAGGGGTCAATATAGTGAAATCCCATCTCTACTAAAAATACAAAAATTAACTGGGTGTCATGGCACACGCATGTGATCCCAGCTAATTGGGAGGCTGAGGTGGGAGGATCACTTAAACCTAGGAGGTGGAGGTTGCAATGAGCCTAGATCACATCACTGCACTCCAGTCTGGGTGACAGAGTGAGACTTCATCTCCAAAACACAAGGGGTGGGGGGAGTATATACATTGTTAAAAAATGTCTATGTTCAGTAATGACAAAGAGAAATTAAATTAAAGGGGCCTAAAATGATATGTCAACTAAATGTAATACATAGTCCTGGACTGGATTCTGTACAAGACAAAAAAGTATTCTATAAAAAAGTCTATTGTGTCAGTTGACAAAATTAGAATATGCACAATTAATTGAATAAAAATATGATACCAAGGTTAAATTTACTGGATTAAAAATTACTGTGGTTACGTGAAGAAAATGTCTGTTCTTCAGAAATTACCATGGAAATATCTAGAGAAAAAAATATCTAGAGATAAAAAAAGGTGGAGACGTATGCAACTTGCTCTCAAATGATTCAGTGAAATATATACTTAGTCTACCCACAGAGAATGTGTGAAGCAAATTGACAAAATCATGATGGATGTAACTGGGTAAAGGATACAGAATATTCTTTGTATTATTTCTGTAACCTTTTAAAATATAAATTTGAATTTAATTCTCAAATATTAAATAGAAAAAATGGAAAAAAGAAATAATCATTGATAAACGTGAACTGTAAGGAAGTTCGCGTATGCAGAAACATCTCAGGAAAGGTGTTTTTGGGTGAAAGTACAGTTGAGTTGCAAGAATTATGAAGTAGAATGTCAACTCTAGCTGGCTTCAGTGATGTTTGTGATGTGGGTGAACACACAGCCTCATTTTTCTGTAAATTAGGGGGAAGCTCTATAGAGCTATCATCCTGCGACCAACCACATATTATTGATTTTTAAAACTGGAATTGACCATGAGTAAGTCAGGAAGAGTTACCAAAGGCATTAATAAAAAATCTAAATGAATCAGATATATACACAAACTAGCCATTGCTTCTCATATTGACATGGAGCATATCTATCTCTGTTTTTATTTACTTATTATTGTATCTGTTTTTAACACTAAACATGTTCATGTTAACTGCTGTTTCAAGACACCTTTTCTTTCATAATTTAGCAAAAGACATGAAAACATGCAAAATATTGATGTTTCTTAGGCAAAATCCAAACAGATCAATGACGTTCATAATTTTGCTTTTAAATATAAATTAATAAGTCAAAAAAGCTAATAGAGTTATCAGACATGTTCCTTAAAGCAGAAACTCCAGTATTGTGCATTTTATGGTTTTTCCTTTAGGTGCTGTGCATTTGAATGTAAATCATTAATAAATTATAATTGGAAATTATTGGAAGTGTTTATAAAAATATCTGCCAGGTCTAGTTATTCATTGGATAATAGTTAATATTTATGCTAATTTTACTCATTTGCTCAGTATGGCAGGATCAGAAAAACAAATCTATGCACAGTTTAACTTATAAAACCAATCTGTCTTCTTTCAGTTTCATAATGTTATCCATTATCATTATTCTAATAACTTCACTAACCAACATTCCTTTTTAATTAAACTAAAATGTGTCCAAGTGCTTTAAAAAAGAATATGCATGATAACAAGCACTGCAAAGCAGAAGAGTTAAACCCAAAATATTAATCTTAAATTATATGACGATAGACATTATGTGTTTCATTCTTTCAAAAATTATATTACCATATCAGATTTAAATTCCTGGAAGGATGAGTAAGAGTTAGTTTTACATTTGCATATCAAGTTTTACTTTTTAAAACACATTTATGTCTATTATATTTTTTGAGTTCCACAATAGTGAAGGATTATTATCATGCAATTTTTGGAAACAGGAAACTAGCTGGTGGTAACTACAGCCAAGAGAGGTGCACAAGGATTGGGAGATTTGATAAATAAGAAACTTGTCTTTAGAACATATGTATATAATTCCTTGTCCTGAATTTGCTGCACTTATATCCATGGAGACTTCTGCCAAGAATTTAGTGTTCACATATCAGTTTTATGATTTTTTAGCAGTTATAGAGAATAAAGTGTTGGCAGTCAAGAGCACACTCATACTTCAGAAATATTATAAGGGACATAATGCATATTATATAAATGTATATTGCTGATATATTGATTTTTTTCCCGCAATACCAATACTAAGCATGTGGTATGGGTAAGACTCATTAGACCCGCTGCATAAATGAGGAAAGTGAAAGACACTTAAGGGTAAGTAATATTGAAGAAAACATCAGCAGATAAAATAGATGTTTCAATTGTGTTCGTTCTACACCTAAATCAAATGTGCCTTTCTGATTTCATTAAAAGCTGTTTCATTGCACCAGCCTAGCTCAAGGTATTTTCACAAAAACCATACAACAAATAAAATGAAATTTCATTCATCTGAAATGAGGTGGGGTCCTATTTATTAAAAATACCAGTCTGACTTTCAGGGTGTACCCAAAGCTATGTAGTTCAAACTTTTAAATTTCACACAACTTGATAATTCTGTTAGCATTGTGACTTTGAAAACAGACCTGTTTTGATGATGACTATAGCCAGCTTCCTAAAATTGACTTATAATATCTTTGGGAGGATGTGTACTGTAGCAGGAGCACTGGAATCCTATAAACATGTTATATATTTCATTTCAACTAGCTATGTGATCTTGTACAAGTTACATAAACTCTTGGATTTTTATATCCCTCATTGGTTAAATTTTAACTCCAAAATCTTTGATTCAAAGCTGCAGTTTGAAATCAGACCCAGGAAACTCATAATTTGATTAACTTTATTCTCCCTTGATTATTTCAGCAGTTCATGCTGACCTATCAACATGTGATTGCTGATCGAATCAATCCCTTACACATTTAAATGAAGACATTTCTCTTGTGATATTTTCATTTGAGCCTTTTGTCTATTGATTGGTGATTATCCAGCATAGGAAAGTTAAAATAACCTTGACTAAGGATCAAGAAACAGGTTCTATACTGAACTCTGACTGAAAATTACTCATTTAACTTTTTTAAATCTGTTTCTTTGTTTTTTTTTGAGACAGGGTCTCGCTCTGTCACCCAGGTTGGAGTGTAGTAGTGTGATATCTCGGCTCACTGCAACCTCTGCCTTCCGGGTTCAAAGGATTCTTTGCCTCAGCCTCCCAAGTAGTTGGGATTACAGGAATGCACCACCACCTGGTTAATTTTTGCATTTTTAGTGGAGACAGGGTTTCACCACATTGGCCAGGCTGGTCTCAAACTCCTGACCTTAGCTGATCCACCCACCTCAGCCTCCCAAAGTGCTGGGATTGTAGGTGTGAGCCACTGCATCTGGCCCATTTAACTTTTAGGAATCACAGTGACTTTAGGTATGAAGAATAAGTATAAAATATGCATTTTGGCCAGGTGTGGTGGCTCATGCCTGTAATCCCAGCACTATGGGAAGCCAAGTTGTGCAGATCACTTGAGGCCAAAGTTCAAGACCAACCTTGCCAACACAGTGAGAATAGCTTGAACTTGTGAGGCGGAGGTTGCAGTGAGATGGAATCGCGCCACTGAACTCCAGCCTGGGTAACAGTGTAAGACTCTGTCTCAAAATATTAAATAAATAAATAAATGCATTCTGTTTACCACATGAGGAAAATACAAAAAACTAAGTTGATTCTTAAGTTCTGAACAAGTAAGTTCACAGGAGAATAATGAACAGCACAAACAATACCAGTGCATTCCTACTTTACCTGATGGGGAGATGTGTCGCCAAGAAATGGAAGGCTCTGGTTTCCCAGTGGCCAAACAAGTAAGGGTGACGTTGGTTCCTTCATTGATGGTCATATCGTTTGAGATGTCATATATCTTAGGAGGAACTGAAATGACAAAATATGCAGTGGTCAGAAAGAAAATATATGAAAGTTTTTTGAACTACATATGATTAATTCCATAATATCATGCAAGAAACTTATGAGGGTGAAATGTATTTATGGCCTAGGGTCCTCACCTGATATATGGATTCTCTGGAACCTCAAGACTTTCTAGAATTTTTTTCTCTAATATTTAGATGTTAAATATGTGAGGATAAACGGAGTACTTAATAACAAAAATGTTTAAACATTGATTAAATTAAGTATGTATTATGAATGATTTATATTAAGTAAACTAGAATATAACTGATCTATTTTATCCATGGATCCTCACTGTAATGACGATTTTCTTGTTGAAATGGTTAAATAGAGTAAGTATAGAAGAAACTTAAAATAGCAGAACTGTTATTTCTACATGCTGATTTAAAAGATGAGTGAGTTAGGACATATACATAATTGGGAGGTAAGATTTCAAGGTCACAAAGGTGTTTTGGGTTTCAATTTTCTATCTGCCAGGTAGTAGAGCTAGTAGAGCTAGACACAAATTCTAAGGACTGTGAAAGGTGGATACAATAACATTTTCTTATCAGTAATGACTGGCAAACACTGGTTGAAACAGATCACTTCAGGACTTCTCAGAACCTTTGTTATGCCCTTTTGCACTGTAAATCCACAAGAGTCAAGGGGGAAATATTATATTATATTTTCTCTGATGTATTAGACTGTAGAAGTTTTTATCCCAGAATTTAATTATGTAATACGTTTGGGAAACAGAGAGAAAAGTCTCTAAACTAACTTCCAGGATTAAATTTCCATATTCTCTGGGAAACCAAATATCTCATTGAATCTTCAAACAGCATGAGTATAAATCTTTGGTTCTCTGTTGGCTAACTGCATTATTTAGGGTAAGTTATTTATCTCAGCCTCAGTATCTTTATCTGAGAGCTGGAGACAATAATACTACATGTCCTATCTGGTTGCTATGGAGACTGAGTCAATAGGTGTTAAAGGACTTAGAAAAGCACCTGGCATCAGTGTTAGTTATTATTATTAGATGTCATTCAATACATATATGATGTATGAATTTCATTTTAGTAGCACCCTTTTCCTATGCCTTAAAATTGTTCTCAGAAATTCTTCACTTTTGTAGTGTGTATGAGTGACCTATGCCATAAATAAGTTTGGGCTGCTTTAAAAAATTATGCTATGTTACCATTCCAGGTGAAATGTAAATAAATGGCAATTACATGCCTTGGTAATCATTAGAAAAATAAGATTTTTACTGAAATATTTTTAATTGTTCCTTTCTTTGGGTTTCTTTATGCAAGACATATGTTTTCACAGTTATTTTTAAAGCTTGTAACTAACATCTGATGTGACGATAAATTACCCATACTTTGAATTTTGTTCTGACTTTTTTATGGAACCAAAACTCAGCCACACACACACACAAAATCAAAAATGGTATGATTACAAATATAAAGTGGTGTTTGATTATGTGTAACTGTTGATATGACTGAGGAGAAGTCTTGTTCCTAAGTAATATACCATTGTAACTGTTTCTAAATGACATAGTTTAATTGGCATTTAAAACACATTATCATCAAACTCTTCAGTGAGATTTTCTCAGGGAAATAATAAAAATTTTTAAAACCATCCCAAACAGAGGGCTCCTTTTAGCTTAATTGAAACAGAACAGAAATAAAAACATTAAAATACCCTAGAAGGAAAGTAAAAAAAAAAAAATGTGCATGACACTGGTAAATAGGAGCGTTAATAATAACAAATTGATAACATTAAACTAAAAGTATATTTTAGATATTTGGCTATAGGTATAGGTTTGATTTATAACTGTAAAATATATGTCTATATATATAGAGAGAGAGACAGATATACAAATACAGATGGTCACTGACTTACAATGGTTCAATTCTGTTTTTACTTTATAATGGTGTGAAAAGATACCTATTCTGTAGAAATCATATTTTGAGTACCAGTACAACCATTTTGTTTTCATTTTCAGTATACCATTTGATTATCTACATGAAATATTCAACACTTTATTATAAAACAGGCTTTTTGTCACATGATTCTGCTCAACTGTGGTTAAATGTTCTGAGCACATTTAATGAAGGTTAGGTTAAGTTATGATGTTCAATATTTTAAGTGTATTAATTGTATTTTCAATTTACAATAGGTTTATTTGGATGTAACCTTATTATAACACATGGAGCACCTGTATTAATATACATATATACACACAAGTATATGCATATACAGCAGTGCCCACTATTTAAAACATTATATTGTACTTTTTTCCTTTATAGAGAAGAAAGTATGTAGAGCTCTTAATCCTGCCTAGCTACTTTGCTTATTTATTTAAAACATAACTGATACAAAGTTGGACATAGGAAAGTGTATGAAGAGAAATAATGCCATAAGAACATAAATTCTATCTTCGAAATCTCATTATTTTGTCAATACTGTCTGATTACAAAACAATTTAGTGGGATCTTTACACATCTACATACATTTAAAGTGCTAAACTTTATGCTAAACTAATATTTAGTACTCGTATTTGATTACATAGAGAAACAATTAAGTCCTTTAGCTATAAACTTAGATTTGACATTTAACTATAGGAGATTGTATAGTGTGGGGAGAGTGGTAATTTCCAGGTGTGACATGTCATTCTCAGTGATTACAATTGCCTTCCAGGGCCTCATAATTCAGGACATGCTACAGGGCACACACATCTGGAAAGAGGATGTTAGTAAGAGAAAATCCCTCTGGCAAGGCTCCTCTCCCCAAAATGCATCACCTGTTGGCAGCAGATGCAGTGTGTAAGAAGGCCAGTGAAATCTTTCACATGCACAATGGCTTGTGGAGACAAAAACAGGTGTTGCTTTGCTGAATATTCAAAACTATTGCATATTCAATTTAAAACTTCCAACTTTTACTAACTATTATGAAGGCAATAATTCTGGATCCAAAGGAAATGTAAAAGTTTAAAGGCATAATACTTCTCCTCAAGAAATTTAAATTAAAAGAGAGAAGCAGATAAGTAAGCAAATAAGAGAGGGCAAATATTTTCCACGTTTTCCTTTCCCATTTTATAGGAGTAATACAAGTTCAAGAGGTATGCCTTCTGGGTTCAAATCAGTAGACATTAATTTTGTGTTGGTTTATTTTCAAGTTAATTATGTGGAATAGTTTACACACAAAGTTATTGAGTGCAGTGCTATTTATAATAGAGGACGACAATTTTTTTTTTTTTGAGACAGAGTCTCACTCTGTCTCCCAGGCTGGGGTGCAATGGCTCAATCTTGGCTCACTGCAACCTCTGCCTCCCAGGTTCAAGCGATTCTCTTGCCTCAGCCTCCCAAGTAGCTGGATTACAGGCAGCTGCCACCATGTCCCGCTAATTTTTGTATTTTTCAGTAGAGATGGGGTTTTACCATGTTGGCCACGCTGGTCTCGAACTCCTGACCTCAGGTGATCCACCCACCTCAGCCTCCTAAAGTGCTGGGATTACAGGTGCAAGCCACCACACCTGGCCAGGAAAACTATCAATAACCTCAAGATAGGTTATTAATATGTACCACAGAAATGGCGGTATAGGGAATTGGTCAATTGGATGATGATAACCATTGTCAGCTCTGTCCTCAGAATAAGGTATGGTATTGAGAAGGGTTTTGAATGGTCCCAGGGTGCATCACGCTATGGGGAAATGGAAGAGAGAAGAGATAATTCTACCCTGGACGCAGGGGCAGGGAAAAACAACAAAGTTTCAGGCTTCTGCAGATGATCAGTTCTGGTAGCTGTTCTTGGGTTAGTTACAATTTGTATATAAATGATGCATACACACAGGTGGAAAGGATCTTTGATCTTTCTGAGTGTTTGTCACATGTTATATGTCCAATATTCTAAGCACTTGCATAGAAAAACCAAAAACAAACAAAAAAGAGGAGAGTTAAAAATAACTTAGTATTCTAGATGTGTGTTCCTTTTCTATATATCTTATTTCAGACTCCCTCGTATCCTTTTCTAAATACTTAAAAATTTATGCAGAAAGGAGCAGATATCTTTAATCAATTCAACAAATTTTAACCTATTAAAAACTACAGACTTTAAGAAGTATTTTGAATTGTCATGCACTTTAAGTACTTATGATCTAGGGCAGAGTTATAAAGAAATATATTATTCATCTAAGTGTAAACTCAATTAATATGCTGGAAATAATTATTATAATGTCATCTTCCCTGTCTTCATCATATGACACCATAAAAAAACAATGAAAAGGCACACATTCTAGATTTCATACTAAATCACAGAATAACTCTCTCCTAGTGAAAGTCTAATTAGGAATATGCAAGACTTTACAACTCTGTTCAGAATCAATTGTTCTGTATTACCAGTTAGAGAGATCCAAGAACACTGGAAGCTTTCTGAGCAACAGTGGTTGAAAGTAGATTTAAAGGTTGTATTGAGTGAAATATATTTTTAAACCTCAATGTCCATTTAAATGAACTACTTTTGGTCCCTTACATTCATAACATGCTTTGCCTTTACTTGTTCACTGGTCTAAAATTCAACTACTACTTAGCACCTGCTCTTCAACTCCTAGTTAGTTGGTTCCACAGTAAGGAAATAATGCATATTTACATGTATCTACATCTTTAGATTCTCTAAAGATTACTTAGATCTTTTATTAGTTTCACTTTCACCAATAAATTAAGCAATTTGACTTACTCCACTCCCCTTCCCTCTTCTGAGCCATCTGTGAGTGTCTTCAGGCAGGGTTTGAGTCACCTTCAGTAAGAAAAATCTTAGATTGAATATCCAAACCAGATTCTAATGACCTTCACACAGGCTACCAATTTAGATTATTCCCCACTATTTTTATGATAATGAGCAACTGAGTTTGTGAGTGCATGGCATTTTTTTTCTTTTAATGTGTACTTATTTTCTGACCTAAAGAAATAAATTATTTTGTTTGTTTAATG